ACATTTAAGATCAGGTTTTTTTGTTTATTTTATTAAAAACAACATCATATTGCCTAAATCAGCCTAATTAATAATGCATCAAATCGGAACACCGGAGAAACTGTGACCAAAATATTATTTAATATCCCCACCGCCATTACTTTCAGCGGGAACTGTATAATTGACTGATTTAAAAAGAAAAGACTGAATTTTTTTTTTTAAAAGAGAAGGGAAAAACTGAATTTTTTTTTTTTTTTAAAAAAAAACAAATTTATCTTAAAAAGAAGGACCAAAATTTTTTAAAAAGAACTGAATTTTTTTTTCTATTTTTAAATCAAATTTTATTAGAGAAAAAGGAAGATTAGATTTCTTTTTTTTAAAAGATCAATTTTTTTTAATTTTTATGATTCTTATAATGCTACTCTTATCAAAATAACAAACTTACTTAAAAAATATAATCAAAATATATATGAAGTTGTAATATTATTAGAAATAAAAAGTATTGATAATAATGAGAATTCAGTACTTTAGTGTACAGAAGAGTTAAATAATAATGTAAAAAAAACTCTTCAACTTTTAATATATAATATAAAAAATATTATCTCATCAAAGTGGCCTTTATATTATTTAAAAAATTCTTCTCAAATTCAAAGAAGACGCAAAGCAGAAGAAAGAAAATCTGCTGCTGAATATAAAAAGAAAATTACTGATTTTTTTAAAGTTGTATCAATTAAAGAATTACTTAAAGCTGATTCAACTTTTGAAAATGAAAATTTATCTATTATTAATAAACCTAATCAAGTTTCTGAAGATGAAAGTGATCAAAAATTTTATTGGTCTAATAATAAAAATCTTAATATTAAAGATTTATTATCAAATGATGAATTAATAAAGAAAATCAAAAATAAAATTAATAAAGACAAACTTTCAAATAATTTGAAATGAAAATTAACTGCAGTTTTACAATATCTTCGATTGTTTAAATTAATTAAAGATGAACATAAGTTTATTTGTAATATATCAATTAGGCTATAATATTTATCTTGTATAATCTATTTGTGAATGGATTAATATTTTAAAAAATAGCATATCCTTTTAGAATCAATTTAAGAAAAACATCCTAAAATTAAAAGTCTTTTAAATGATATTCAAGCTAAAATCATTTCATACTTATGCAAAAATAAATTTGAATTTTATGTTGCTGATTTTGTAAATTATATTTCAAATTCTATTTACCAAAATTTGAAATCAAACATACAAAACTAATCAAATAATTATTATTTTAAAATTATTATAATAATTATTTAATTTAATTAATTATAATTTTATTTTATATAGAAGTTCAACTACAAATAGGGATGGTTAGGTCAGTTCTAGTCTAGTCTTGGTCCTGGAACCTATAAGTCCTATTGAATAGACCTGCAAATCAGATCCTAAAAGAGTGAATTCTAGGACTTGAGTCTTATTAAGTCCAGTTCTGAACCTAGTTCTAGGACCTGGTGGTCATGAGCTAAATTATTTATAAATTTTGTACCTGAATGACAATTTTAAAAGTCTTTTTCCTTTATTATTAAATAACTTAAAATTTAACATACTGCATATATCATTTATTTATTTATTAAAACCTTAATTAGTTTAGAACTGTTGATTAGTAAACATAAACTTTAAAAAATGGTTAAACCACGTTTTTTTCTCTAATATTATTATCTATTTAACTTTTAGCGCATAATGACAGGATTCCAAACAATCTATGTATAGGTCAGATGAAAATTTCAAAATTTACTATAATTAATAAGCAAACTATTTTCAACTCTACTAAGCAAACTCTCATTATAACTTAAGAAAATTTGACTCTGCTAAGTAAACTGTTTTGTGACTTATATATATTAAGT